CTCGCGCTACAATCCTGGCCCCACCCTAAGGCAGAGCCTGACCTTGACGTTAAATCTAACCCTACGCCAACCCAACCTTGAAATTTGCCTCAAGGTCGCCTTTATAAAGGGACGTGGGGGTCTTACTCCCGTGTTATACCATAAGTGCGCTGCAAGACGTTTGAGTACTCAGTGAGCAATCTCCACACCCGATGTGCTTTGAGAGAGAGAGAGAGTGAGTTAGTGAGTGATACGCCTTATTTTGGAAGTCTCATTTAAAAATTTTCAGCAACAAGGATTATCGCTGACTGAGAGATATGATCGTGCTCGTGATTGGATGGCGACAAAGAAGGCTTATAGATCATAAAACGTACGGGTTTAATTGACAGAGCAGCAACTTTCAGTTCGTACGTGATTACTTCTGCTTGCAAGTTGAACACTAGGGAGCCCATTAGGTGTTTATGTATTTATGCGGTTTTTAATGAAAACACGTTGAGGTGCCCAAAGCACTGTGATGGCTGACCGTCGTTTCGTTAGATTTCAAGTCGTTCGGCCAGGCCAAATTGATCCAAAGGAATGTTTCATCCCGTGCACGATTGCTGTCAACAGGTCAGGTGTTTTGTTTAAACCACGAACAGAATGCCCTACCAGCACTAAGAATTTCCTCCGGTTTCTCGTTAAGGCGCCGCCCACGTGGTAGGGAAAATGTGTCTGCATATACTTATGTTCAAAACTCTATTTAAAAACGGCTAAATCGCAGTTGGTAGCCAGGACCCGTATTACAGATGGCTGGAGAGTTTGTTTACTGGGGCTATTTTGGTGGGGTTCCATAATCACGTCTGACCAATTTGGCTTCCGCTTTACGTCTGAAGTTAGAATTAGGGCACCAGTTAATGGTTTCCGATTTTCGGGTTAGGGTTATGCCTTTAAGCTTAGGTTTTCGGGTTGCGGTTAGGGTTTGAGCGTGCGATTAGATATCCGTATTACGGTTGGGTTTTTCAGTTACGGCCATGTCTAAGGGCTACGGTTGCGTTTAGGATTTCGGTTCGGGTTAGGGTTGCCGTTAAGGTTAACGGTTAACGTTTAAGTTTGAGGTTAGGGTTAAGGCTAGGATTAGGGTTAAGGACGTCGTCCGCCTCTCCCTTCCTGGCTACCAACTGCGATTTAGCCAAAAAAATTACCCGCCATACGATTACTGAACTTGACTTCAAGCACTCTTTCCCAGATGCTAATTTTTAAGCTTTCAAACACACCAAAGTTTGTGATGACTGACCGGCGCGGCTTCAAAACCGTCCTCTCCAAGTGCAAAGGTGATCACCAAGACGTCATAGCTGCGGTCGTTGTTTGTGATTGTTTTGCTCAGCCTACTCACTGTCTGTGTTTAGAAGAAGCTGATGGTTATGAAGCTGCGATCATTAGAACAGGAGGTCTATTGGCCCGCCGTTTCCGATTCTAATTCGCACCCTTCATCAAAAACAGTAGCAAATAAGGGTGATGGGTGCACAAGGCGCGTGGTATATATAGGACGCAGTTGCCATACGACCGCAAAACAACTATATTTAGCAGCTGCAATATTCAACATTGTGGGTCCTATTTTATGCGATTATGGCTTGCTGGTCGCACCTGAGTTTTTACTTGTTGCAATTCAATCATCGTTGTTGATTCTTGTCGGTGATAATGACTCGACAATCTGGCTCACTGTTACCGAAGTTGTCGGTCTCCGAGCCCTCTCCGTGTGACTAAGCATTCTGCCCAGACCAGTTCTCAGCCCATAATATAGGTAGAGAATAGAGGTAGGGGCTCATGCGGTTGTCACACATTGCAAGGAGCTCGGTCTCATCAAACTTGATGGTGTGGCCGGGTCCCGTGGAATGGTCCGCGGCCTGAGGGTTGGCGCCCTTCCTCCTCACTTCTGCTGCATGTTCGGCCATTCGCGTCCACGTTCCCCGTAGTAGTTGTTTGGTCCGTAACCGACCCAGATCCGGCTGGATACCATCATGATTCTCCGAAACAGACAGCTCAGTGGGTTGTTATGCATTAATTGGCTGGAAAACACTTTTGCTCAGCTCTTCCTTTTCATAACTCCCTTGTAAGGGTGTCAGAGTGTTCGCATAGGAATTAGGCTTCCACTGATGTAGCCAAACACGTAGTGTTTTCACTTCGGTATTGGGAAAGCTACTGGGTAGATATAAATGCAACGCCACCTGAAGTTCAGCCTTTCGTTAAGAGGAACCTAATCACTTCTCAGCGCCTTGTGCTTTTTCTCCTGCATTCATGCATTTGATATCCACAAGAAGTATTGACGGTTGTTTAAAATTGACATAAAAATATCTAATTTCGAGCGTGGAGACCTCACCTGGGTATCAGATAACCCACTGCTGTTCTGCTTTAGTGGGGTAGGACGTTGTACACGAAACTGCAATGCCTGCAGAGATCAGGTCACTTTCTACTAGCTTCAGCCAACGCGTCAGGTGTAACTTATCATCTCAACTTCCCCTTATGCCTAAACAATATTGCCAGCAATTTCGCCCAGATTAAACGCTGTAAGTACGCAAACTGAAATAACTCGTTTCGAGACATCTGCGAGAGTACCAAGTAGGAAATGAGTCAGTGAAGGAGATTACATCACTGTTACAGCCTTGACCGGTAATCACAGTCCGAAAGCTGCACCCAGGGACTCGGGAAATATGCAGGACAAGGTCACTACGCCTAGGCATGTCAGAGGTTTGACAGGCCACGTTAGTGTTTTTGCTTACGCTAGGGCGTTGACGACAGTTTGCTATAACAAAATCTTCAGGGTCTAATATTTCTGTCATAAATAAAATTCCACCCTCCACTGAGTAAACTGCGCATGGGAAGAGGACATGTGTATGTGTGCAAAAGTACTTAAATTCGAATCACGGACGGTTTCACGGTGAACAGTTATATGGATAGTAAGAAAACGCAGAAAATACATCGGGACTCACATCATCTTACTGGACGGAAACCAGGCATTGGCATCAATGCATGATCTCCACGTCATATTCTCGAACGGTTGAGTCCCTATTGAGGAAGCAGGGTATAACCAGCTGACTTCTTTTGACTAACTTCTCCATCGTATAGATTTTGATATGTTCCAACAAAGTTTTCCCGTAAAATAATAAAAAACAAGTGGATCGACGCCCACCGATCGGTTGCGGGAAAGACTCGCCCGTGTTTTTGCAGCTCTGTCTGGAGCCTCACGGACATTGCATAACGACAAATTGGTCTTGTAACCGGTCGATGAGCGTCCCCCTACCAATGTTTGTGTACCTGATCGCGACTGAGAGGACAACGTGTCCGTAGAGCAGTGGTTAGGGCGCTGGTCGCGAGTCCTAGCCGCGGGGCTCATGCACTTCGGGGCATGGCTGGCTGATGACGCCTAATGAGCCGGAAACGGCCATTTCGGTCTCCCTTGTCCTTCGTGAGAATTTATTTCATAAGAAATGCATTTGAACCACTGCTTCTCAACAAAAACCACATTTTTGGGGCCGTTCTCTCGCCACGCCTGACTTGAACGTCTGTCTCAGACGTGGGAGGCCGCATAACTCACTGCGACGACGAAACGCGTCGAGCGTTTGCTACCATGGCTGGTGCAAGAGTGAGCACAGAAATCCCGATTAGCATGAGTAAGCACCGCATTCGGGGGGAGGAGAGACCATATCAGAAGTCACATCGCACGGCCGGGCAAAACATGACAGTTTCGAGGAGGCCAGCGTCCCAGACCAGAAAAGCGATCAAGTCAAGCGATCATTGTGCATAGACTGGAGCAACTCCGTGCTGGTGAGATTGGCTGGCACTAGAACTTTGTTTCGAGAGAGCAGGTGTCAGAATCAACGACAGGTGCACGACGGTGAGATATGGAATATGGCTTACGTTAGCTCCACCAATGGCATATCGATTCCCCGTATTCGTAAGCTTTTAAGCATCCCCAGTCTATGCTATGCCCTTTACCTACACGAGAAGATACTTACCGCCTGACCCGAGATTGGGAATACCAGTAGAACGAACTCACTACGTCGTCCGAGTTAAGTAGGCTCAAGAAGCGGGATACATATCAAAGTATGAGGTACAAAAAATCCGTGCTTATTCGTAATTAATTTCATTTTCTGGACATTAGGTATTGACTTAGGGGAGTTCGTTTTGAAGAGGGTGGGAGCTTTTTCTGAAAATTTTGGAAATGAAAAAGGGATTTCAAGCTTCATTCTGTATTCCTGATGTGGCTTGGGTAAATACGGAAAAACATGAGCAGAATTTGGCGGGAATAGTAAAATGACGAAAATTAAAGTCTCCTCGCCATGACAATGAAAAGTGAAGCGGTTTTCACAGCAAATGTACTGCAACGAAGGATTACACACTATACCCGCCCACACTGAGATGGGGGAGTGACTAGCTGATGGTAGACAGCAAAACTAGTGGTTAATGCATGCTCTCTCTTCCTCTGCTTAATTTCTCTCATTATCACGGAAATTTGTATATTTGCTCACCCTTAGATTATGTTTTATTTATGTGACTACTTCTGCGTAAACTGAACCAACGACGCTAAGAAGGCCTGGCCGAACCAGTAGAAATGTTGGAGATAATCAGGGACGGTGACTTGCGGGTGAGATCGATTCAAGGGAATGGCAGACTTGCACTGCGTCTATCGCAACCTCACCTCCCTCGCCCAAATGAGGTCGGTGTCAAGACAGAAGGCGTGATCAGGTGCAGTGGCTGACGGTGCTGGACAGCGCGTGCTTCACACGCCTGGTTCGCACACAAAGCGCCAAGGTTTCCTCAGAAACAAGGGAGCTTCAACCGCAGCTGAGTTAGAATGCCATAGAAGTCCCAGTGACAAGGAGCCCTCATAGTCTGGTTTTTCGTCTTAGGAGGACTACCGAGTTATCCCGTCAGCTGGTAGCCTTCCAAGCCATGGCCTCCGACGTATCGTGGTAATTTAAAAGCAAGTCATATTAACACTTCACGTTCGATGGGGCAATCTACGAGCAGGTAAGGACACACCAATGGGTTCGCCGATTTCGGGATTCATCGCCGAGGCGGTCCTGCAACGGTTAGAGTCGCTGGTCTTCCAACACGACAGAACGAAATTCTGGACCCGGTATGTGGATGATACCTTCGTCGTCATCGAACGGGATCAGGTGTTGACACTCCAAGAACATCTCAACGCCGTCTTCCCGGACATTCAATTTACGATGGAGGAGGAAGAGAACAACCAGCTGGCCGTCCTGGATGTCATCGTATGCCGCAAAGATTGTGGTGGACTACAGACCAAACTGTTCAATAAAGCGACAAATACGATGCAAGTACTGAACTTCAGCAGCAACCGCCCAATCAGCCACAGGCGCAATTTTGTAAGAACGCTCTATCGGCGTGTCGAACCGCACTGCAGTGAGCCGGAAGACAAGATTGCTGAACTACAATACCTCCGACGGGTATTCAAAGCCAATGGCTACCCGCGCAACTTCGTCTACCGATGCATACGCAAAATGACCGAAATGTATAACCGAATGGACACCACATTTTGGCGAGCACTTCCGTATGTCAAAAACGTTTCGGAAGCTGTCGGCCGCCTTCTCGCACCACTTGGGGTTGGAGTTGCACACAGACCGGAGGCCACAATCAGTCATCAGGTAATGAAACCGAAAGACCCGTTGCCACGGCCAGAAACGTCTGGAGTCGTTTATCGGATCTGGTGCAATTGCGGACGACGAAACTTAGTCGGAGAAACCGGAAGACAGCTCCGAGCGAGAATGGCTGAACATGCTGCAGTGGTACGGAGAAATGACGCCAGTTCCCAAGTTGCGGCTCATTCGACGAGGCCGAAATTCTCGCAAGAGGTGACAACAGCGTGAGCCGGGAGCTACTTGAATCATGGTTTACTGCCCCCCAGTCCATTAACAAGTGCAATGACCTTCCCCTTCCATGCATGGTGCTGAGACTTCGTCTAGGCGGAGTAATTAGCCACGCGGGGAGCTCACAGGTGAACACTTCTCCCAACACCAGGATTGATGCGTCAGATGGTCGAGCAATCATCACACCAACATCCAACGCACGTGATGAAATTGTAGCAATTAACAACGCGAACGTCGGCCATCAAGCAATTAACACACCACGTGCAACGATCCCGGATGAAGGGTAGAGCCCTGAATGTTCACAGGAATGCGGTAGCATGGCGAATACACCCTAGAAGTACTGCAGCCCCTGGTGCATGAATTACCCGTATCTACTTTCGTCTCTGATGATGGCTTCGAGCAGCAACCCGAAACGTCAGGCTAATAAAGCTCTTGTCCCGGCGATCGTGTCTCCTTCTTCAAAGCCTGTCCTAGTGTTTATTGTGAGGAATGGGCGTTAAGTGCCATGGGGTACGGTCGATCTCACTCTCTTTCTCCTCCCACTCCCGGACAGCGGTCTACTGCCTAGGTCGTCCAGTCTTCTGATGCGGCGTGACACGAGCCTCCGCCTAGGCGTGCCACCAACCCTTACCGCAGATGAGGTAGTTTTCATGGGTGCGCAGCCCAAATAACGTCCGTCGCGTTCCACTCTGGTCCCCGTGTTGATCCGGCGCATCTACTGCGTAGTCTCTTTTCGGGGGCCTCTTAGTGTTTAAACCGACTCACTCACTGTCCCATAAATGTATGAGTCTGCGTAGGAGAGGTGACCTTGAGTGGTCATGTCATTTTAAGAAGAACGCTTCAGAAACAAAAGGCGGCGGTGCGTTTCTGAGTCGAACTCTCCGCAGGTGATTCATTTGAACACAACTCGTACGAGGTGATCGCTTTCTCTAATCTTGATGCTGACCAGTCGTCAGCCGACTCTCGTTCAGGGCACATGCGAATCTATAAATAAGTAAAATCTCTGGAATGGGCAGTCAAAAATACTTTTGTTTACCTGAGCTCTTTTACATGAATCATTCAAAAAATGGGAAAGCACGAAAATTGTTAATTTTCATAGTAGTTTTATGTTATTTCTCTCGCCTTACGACTGTTTTGGGCAGATTTGGCGATCCAGTCTTCACTACTCGTTTTAAACTTCCCCTTTTTGCTTCAAAGCAATGCAAATTGTCCACGCCTGAGGCGTGAATTTAATGCACTGTCCGACTTCTAACGATGTTTCTCAGAAATTTTAGATCGGAGAAATTTTGCCAAAGGACATGGTTACTTTTTTCATCATCCCTTTCCTAACTTTAGCACTTGATTATTTCCCTAGAAAAGCAAAAGCGGTATGTAGGAGGCTTTTAGGATTCCAATTGAAATGATTCTAATTGAAATAAGTGCGGACTGATTTTGCAGGAGTCTTGATCTCTCCTCGATTTAGACAGCCAGTCATAACTTGCGTTGCCCCACTACCATCATTATTATCATCTTCGTCCTATTCTCCTCCTCCTCCTCCTCCTCCTCCTCCTCCTCCTCCTCCTCCTCCTCGTCATCATAGTTGTCATCGTTGTCTTCAGCTTCTGTTCTATCGATTTTCTGTTAGCTCTTCTGCATTCTTCCTTTTTTTGGTCCTCTCATTTTGAGAAAGTATCGATCAAAGTAACCGTTCCAACTGGCGTCAACTGCAGTGTGATATTCGGTGGATTTGAACTATCTGGCATTTTATCCAGAAGTACAGATGCCTGTCTTAGTAAAATTTATGCTCCCAGGGGAAGACAATAGAGCAGCCAGAGAAGCTACTCGGGTAATCGATGAGCCTACTAATTCATTGGAGATAAGGATAAGAATCGCTGCATCAGATCGACCGACTTGAGAAGGTTAAGGTGCCAAGCCACGCAATTACTTACCATATTGATAGCACAGGCACTAGCTAAAAGCCCAGACACGCGTGTTTCGCCTATCCTGTATCGCTGCCTGACGCAACTGCGAGGAGTTCGGTTCATCAGTGGGTCCCCCAGCTATGCCCGTGTGTTTTCTGGTATATGAACTCCAGTTTCAACTTGCCTTGTTTAATTTCCGAGGAAATTTATGCGCGAAAAGGCCCGTTTTGAAAGATTTACTCCAAGTTCGCGCATTAATTCCCTCTCTGTGTTATCTGGCGGAGGTTAATGGAGTTCATATACCAGAAAACACACGGCAGGTGCTGAGGGACCCACTAATGGACCGAACCCCTCGCAGTTGCATCAGGCAGTGGCATAAGTTCGGCGAAACACGCGTGTGCGGGCGTTTAGTTAGTACCAGTTGTTGGATAGTACTGGTTGCTTTTACGCACGGCGTTTGAATAGCCCACATACTGATACTTTCATGCGCAACAGAAATATTTACGCTTTGGAGTCTCGGGTCGCTGACGGGAAGGTTCACATTGCAATGACACACTAAAATATGACTTTGCCAAAGTATGGATGTATTCTGAACTCTCCAGGGAATGGATGAAAAGTGTGTTTATTCTGAAAATTTTGGCTGGGCGGTTAAATATCCCACACAGTGTCGTCGACCCTATAGAATTCTGACCAGGACCGGTGGACCATAGCCTTACAGCGACACAACAAAAATCACTTGCGTAGGACGAGCTGTTGTAGAGCGGTTTTTGGAACTCCTAAAGTCAAAAGTAGACACTTGTATTCACCGTAACACACGTCGCTTTAGGGTCTGTACCCCATACTAGACGAAGCAGTGGAAACTCCTACTGCGACAGCGTTTGTGATCTTTTAGTGAGTCGTTGATTGAGGAGTGTTTGCCAGAGCTACCCTAATCCGCGGGATGCACACCCGAGATTGAAACTCTGATTCATTTCGTCCATGTACAACGTTCTCTCCACAGCCCTAATGAACTCGCGCCATGTCGGCTGAGATCAGGGATAAGTAGGCATGTGTGAGAGGGTTGCACGGATCTATCCCGATCGCCTGTACGGAATGCGCACATTTCCGCTTTGCCATGCAGCCGAAGGTTTTCAGTCCACGCGAGTGGCTGCATGCCGGTTAGTAATCAATAACTGAGAAGTGTTAACGGTCGAAAATGGGGTCAGTAGAATGCTTGTTTCTGGTTAGTTTGCCGTCATAAGTCAATGATGCACTAGGGTCGGTCCGCATACGCGGGATTCTATCGGCCTGATAGTAGTAGTCCTTAATTGGCAAAATAAAAAGGAAAGTCAGGAGGAAAGAATGACCATTTTAAGCTTACTGTCCGTCGCCAGGCAGTGGCAACCAACTCCAGGACTGCGAAACCCGGGGATTCGAACCCGGGTTCATCGGTCATTGTGCGTTTTTAAGTCCGACGCGGGTTCACTGTACCGTCGAGATTACTGTAACATTGAGCCACGACGGGAAATAGTTTGCGATATCAAATAAAATGTCTTAACCTTCGAAAAGACCTATTGGGCCACGTTAGAACATGTATATCACCCCAGAGATTGAAATTTTACTTGCAGAGAGGGAACATGCAAACCTATGACTCATTAATAAAGCAGTTAATCATGGAATCTAAGCATAATTTCCACTTTCTGACCTTAGAAAATGTCAATGGGCCACACTTCAGTTAGGAGTAGCCCTGTTCAAGGGCATTTAAAATTGTCTGTCCAAAAACTCCTGCAAAAATAGGCATTCACGGCACTTTATACTGGGATAAGGCCAGAATGTGGCCACGTTTGCGTGACGGCATTTCCCATCCCGGGTCGTGAGCGAAAGGGAGGAATCGGGTACGTTGGTAGTAAATACCGTCTGCCTAGATAATACGCACTCTCAGAAATTTAAATCCACATATAGGCTCGTTGCAGAGGGGAGATTTTGAATCCAATGACAGGCGAGCTCTTCTGAAGTAAGGCATTTTCACTTGTGTGAACGCTGAGAGGGATGAAAGTCTCTTCTTCGAGGGGCTGCTTCCTACAGGCCGCCGCCTAGGCAGCTCTTGAGGTCCGAACATGAAACAGGGGTAGTGGACAACATAGCAAGGTCGAATGAGAGCACTCTGTGAGAATACCAATTGAACTTTGCGTTGCAGTTAGGGTGCTCAAAGGCTCACTGAAACGAACTGAAGAAAATGTGCAAGGTTTCAGCACGGTTGAAGAATGCCTGAAACAGTCAGTAACTTTTAGGGCGTTTTGCTCAAAGTCCTGGGAAAATTCATGCTTCTGCACAGCACGACTACTTCACGGCCATTTGTTTAGAGACAACACGTCTATCAAGTGGCTTGCATGTCTTTCCTCGGGAAAAGAGACGGCCGGTGGTGTTAAGGTCCCCCTGTGTGCTCCTACTACCGCAAAACGAATGACTGTTATCTGCTGGTAGTCTAAAAATGTAGGAATTTGGATTATTTTTTAAGAAGAATCGAGTCAAAACCATCCGGCAAGTGTAAAATTAAATGAGCCGGAGAGCTTCACTGAGAGGTAAGGATAAAACAGTAGACTGAGACCCTTTGGTCTTTAGCGTCTCCACGGTCGTTGGGCTCCTAATCATTTCTGACTGGGGGGGGGGTTAAAATTAGTAGAGGAGTTTAACGCACTACGTATCCGGGGTGCTATGGCCCCGCGTGCACCACCCGACTCCCGACTGTGACGCTGCAAACTCGTACTCCGGATAGCGGTCACGCCGTCGCAACTGCTCCAACGAACAGGATAAGCCAGATGGTGGGCGGGCGTTGTTGTACGCGCAGACGATGTCTTCACCTAGTCCGTCACCATCTGTAGTCTCGTAGCTAATTGGTTTGGCGTGGTTTTCGCGGCAGATAGTGCACAACATCTGTTTCCCTGCTAGTCTGCAACGTCAACCCTCCTTTAGATAAGCCACTTGTAAGCCAACCAGAATGGAAGGCTACTGCAGTCGCCTGAGGGCCTCTCTAGATATGACACTTCACGGTTCGACCGTTGTGACAGGCGGACTACCAGCGTGTTAGATGGGCACCGTACCCGTTCTCCCTTCATCTCCTCCTCCCGGCTCAAAACCCACAGTGACCCTCTGCCCACACGCATGTGGTCCGCTTGTCAATGTCTGTGCTGTCACGCTAACTAGTCTAATGTGACCGGCTAACTTTCTCTGTTATCTTCATTTTGTCTGACGACGGATTGGTGCCCCTAACTTGAAAATTCACAAGTACAACTGGATTCTTCTAAACAACATCCTTCTTTTTCCACAAGCAGTAGGTGGGCCAACTCATGAAATGTTAATCGAAATTCCGAAATGCGCTCTCGTTTCGAAAAGATTAATTAAGTAGGGTTGTAAAATTAATCACCGTCCGGCATAATTCTATAATGATCCAGTTATCTCAGGGTGCCTTCTTTCGAACGAACTTATTCCCGATTGCATGCAATAACTACAGTCTGCAAAAAATGACTGCTTAATTGGCATGCAATTTACTCATTGATTTTCGATGTCCTTAAGAGGTCAATTATATTTCATGAAAAAAATGCATAAAAATATGAATTCTTTTATTTTTTCGGTGGAAAATAACGTCTTTTTTCAATTTTTTACTCGAAGGTGGAGTACAGTTCGATTTCAAAAAGTTTTAATTTTTAGATTTTTAATACCGTGAAATGGCCGTTCGCAAAACGTCATGTATCTGCATTTACCAAAGTGACTTGTAAAGTTAACAATATTGCTCAAATCGACTGCTTATTTTTCTGAATCCTATATTGTCTCCTCTTATTACTGTAGAGAAATTACTGTAGTTCTGGAACCCGGAATGCAAGTATAACAGCAGGTAGGGTTTAACATTGTTCGGGAATTAGAAAAGTTCTTTAATCCGAATAATACTATTTTTCGAGTATAAAATTGGAAGAGGAGGTGATTTTCTACCAAATAAGTAAACGAATGGATATTTTGATGCATATTTTCTAAGAAATTTAACTGAATATTCGAGGACCTCTAAAGTCGATGAGAAACTTCATGCTACTTTAGAAGTCATTTTCTACAGAGTGTAATTTTTATATGCAGCCGGAAGGAAATTCATGCGAAAGCCGGCATCCTGCGGTAACTGGATCATTGTAGAATTATACTGCATGATGATTAGTTTCACAACCCTATTTAATTAATCTTTTCGAAACAAGAACGCATTTCGAATTTTCGGTGGACATTTCATGAATTAGCCCACCTGCTGTATATATACGTATATAATGGCACATGGCCGCTCACAGATCGGTAACGGAAGGTGCTTGTCCCGTCAGGTTCAAACTAGAAACCTCGCAAGCAGTAGCCCAACGATTAATAGTATGCATGCAGCGCTTTAGCCAATGAGGCTCCAGATCGAATCTCCAAGCACGACGGCACTGATGTGTCCCGTAATGCGATCGCATTTAATACACCCGATGACAGGACAACAAGCTCGCAGCCAAACGGTCAAAGCGTTAGACTAATAACCGAAAGAGGGCAAGTTATAGCTTCAGGTGCTCCTAAACCGAAGGTTAGCTAAGAGTAATCAGCCGACACATGGCCATTCCAGTCTCCCTTGCCTTTGTCGGTTGTCACGCTCTCCACACACACAGTCAGATGAGGCATGTATCAATCAGCA